CGAGGGGTGTGCCGAAATGAGGCGACGGGGCTGGGCCGACTCAACCGTCGCGACATAATTCTTGGCATCCGCAGCGTCGCACCTCATAGGCCAGGGCTGAGCGTATCACCCACTTCCTGATTCGGTGCACTTCGTCGTCCCCCTCTGGGTGGGGCACGTCCCAGGGTCATATTACCATCTCGGGCCCACCTCCGGTTGGCTAAAATACATTCGCGGGTATCGCGAGTGCGTTAAAGGGAGCCGACTTAGGGCCCCCCAGGAGTGCCGGCATGGCGAGTGGGAATTGAAGGCATATCTAACAGACTCCGCCTATTGGCCCACAATGGCCAATCTTCCCACCGGCTCGTGTCGCACCTCCGGGGCCAATTGGGTCGGCGGTTTGAGCCCAGATTGCCCCAGACGGACACATTGTCCGGTTGCCTGTGGAACAGGCGTGTGGGCTCTTGGCCGGCCCCGCGGCGGAGCTGGCTGACATGCTTTGCGCCGAGCAGGCTGCGGATGCCCGCGGCCGCGCGCAGGCTTGGCGGGATCGGGTTGCGAAGGCGAAGAGCAAGTCTGAGTTGGCTGGGCCCACCGTTGGTCCAAGTGTCAGCCTTCCAGAGAGGCCTACGGCCACCGCCCGCGGCCCTCCACCCAGCCTTCCTCCCCGCGGCCCCCGGCGGCCGCGGGTCACGTCAGGACAAGACTTGGGCTAGCATTGTCCCTTGCCGCACCCGGGGGCTGGGGGGGGAGGGGCAATCCCTCAAAGGCCCGTTGATGGGTATTTTGTTCGGGCCCATTCCCACGTGTTTGATTATATGTAAAGCCCGTGGGCAGTACTCGGAGTGTACACGGGCCGTCAACCTAGAGAAGAGGTGCAGACCCACCAAGGCTTCCAGTCGTGCAGTAACAAATTTCACTAGGGCTTGCAAGGGGCAGTCCCCGAACCACCGGCGCGGCAACGGAATTATCCTCGGCGATTTGTTGCCCGTCAGCGCCTTGCTTCAGCTGCGTCAGGATATGGATTCTCTGGCGAGTCAGGCCCCCTCTCCTGCCTCCTCCTCTGCACAGCCTCCGATCGGGGTACCGCTCCCCGACGGAGTTGGATAGGGCAGAGGCAAGATTCCGGTAGTGTTTCACCGTGCAGTTCAGCTTCGTCCGTTGTGCTACCCTCTCTCCGACCTTCTGTAGCGGGATACGGTCAACGCAGTTCTCTTCTCCCCCCTTTCTTCAACGTCGCCGCCAGTCCGACCAACTCCCTACCCAAGGGACAGTCCTCCGCCGCGATCCTGCGGGCACCCTTAGGGGTGATTACCTGTGCAGCCTCCGTTTGAGGGGGCAGGGCGGCCTCCCGCTGGTGAGGCAGGGGAAGGTTAGCCTAACAGCAGCCACTCTCGCCATTTTTCCCACCGATCCTTTGCCTTTCGGCGAGCCTCTCATTGTAGAAGAAACAAGGAACACACTATATATATGTATATATGTGTATATATATATATATATATATATATATATATGTGTGCGGCCTTTCTGGGTACGCGGGGCTGCAGTAACCTGGGCCTGCCAGGCACCGTTAGGAGAATCCCCAGCCGAGGGCTGACATAGGAGCACGGGCTAGGGTTAACCAGCGCGATCTCGGCACAGGTTAGGAGCAAGTCGACAGAAGGTGATCGCACTGGCGACAAGGTGCAGGCCATCGGGAGGGTTGATGTGTCCGACCCCCTTTTACCACGCCTCCTTCCAGCCCGCTGCTCTCTGCCGTGATTCATGCCCCTCCTTCCGGCCCTCCTGCTCCCCCCTTCCCCCCGGCTTTCTCCTTCCTCCTTGGTTCCCGCTGTGTCCATCTCCCCTGCCCCTTGGTTCCCGAAGTATGTGTTTCCCTTAACTAGTGGTTCCCGTCCTGTGGTTCATTGTCCGCGGCGGTGGACCCCCATTGTCCGCGATCGGCCGGCTATCTCCGCGCGCCGCTCGTTCTGCAAATGCTGCCAGTACTCTTGCCCCTTGCACACGAAATCACGAAATGCACGTTTTCGCGTGTGTGTTTCTACAGATATCGAGGGTTTGCGCACTTCTGTTGGCCCTTTAGGATGTGCCTGTGCATGCGCATGTGCCTGACATTGTCAGCTGCTCTTGCCCTGCGTTCCTGCGTTGGCGGCCCGGCATTGTCTGGCGCGCTCCTGGGCATTGTCCGACGTGTCGCCCGCGATGCACGAGTTTCGGTGTCAGTTCAGCTAGTCGGCGCTGCTTTCGATGCTCACGTTTAAACCCAGATGTTGATACTCCAGATTTCGTAATAAAAGGGAGGGGGTCTGGACCCTCCAAGACAAGCCATTTCAGACCTCCCCCGTGGGAGAACCCTCCAAAACATCGTCCCCAGACCCCCCAGGCCCTCCAAGATAGCCTGGAAGGGACCCCCCCCCGAAATGAGACCCCCTCCCTTTATTCCGAAATCTGGAGTAATCGTTCAGGCCATTCATGGAATTGTTCTACCCAGGCGCGGACCAATGGCTCTTGACAAAAAACAAGCTACCGTACCACATCCTCGGGATGAAGCACGGGATTTCCCTACGGTCGGGGGGGGGGGTCGCACGATTTTTGTTGCATCGGGATACCTGTGTGGCATTGCCTGTGTGTCGCACGATTTCTGTTGGATCGGGATCGGGATACCTGTTGGATCGGGCTATCCGTCAACCAGCGTCAGGCCCGAGGCAGGGACCGCCGCCGCAGCCGCGTGGCCTCCTCCGCCTCCCGGTCCCTCCCCGCCCCCAGCAGGCATTGCCTGCTCAGCCCTTGAGTCGTGTACCGGCCAGGGGTCGCTCTCGTTAGGAAGTGAGTGCAACAGGCTGCGAGCTGGGCTTTCCCCCGGCGAGGGATGTGCCCCCTTGGCAATCCCTCCTCTCGCGCGTCGGCACAGAGGCCTGCCAAAGGCGGGAGCTTCGCTGGACCGGGGCGCTTGGAGTCAGGGAACCTCCCTACCTCCTCCTCCCTCCTCCTCTCCTCCTCCTTCTCCTCCTCCTCCCCTCCCTCCTTTTTTTTTTTTTTCCTCCTCCCCCTCCTCCTCCTCCTTCCTCCTCCTCTCTCCTCCTCCTCCTCCTCCTCCTCATCCTTCCTCACCTCCTCCCCCTCCTCCTCCCCCCTCCTCTGCCCCGCCTCTCGGAGGTGGGCGGGTTGAGACCGCGGGGCCGTCGGCTGGCCGGCGGAGGCAGAGCACCTCGCCGCCACGGCGAAGAGCGGCTCGCAGAGTCTGCTGCGGCTGCTCCCCGGGAGGGGCCCGCGGGCCAGCGCCGAGCTGCCCAGGGCCTCGTGGCCACGGCGAAGAGCAGCTCCAGAGTTTGGTGCGGCTGCTCCCCGGGAGGGGCCCGCGGGCCGCTGCCGAGCTGCCCAGGGCCTCCAGCCGGCCCTGCTCCGGGCCTCTCGAGCCCACCGCTCCCCCCACGAGTCTGGGAGAGAGTCCCGGAAACGGTGCGGCGGCGGACCGCGCGGTGGCCTCGGGACACCAAGAGACCTCACCGCACAGAGGGGAGGGAAGGGAGAAGGGCAGAGGAGGGGGGGAAGTGGGAGGAGGAGAAGGAGAAGAAGGGAGGCAGGGAAGTGGAGGAGGAGAAGGAGGAGTGGGGCAGGGAGAAAGAAGGAAGGGCAGAGGAGGAGGAGGGGAAGTGGGAGGAGGAGGAGAAGGAGAAGAAGAAGGCAAGGAGGAGGAGGAGGAGGAGGAGCAACACGAGAAGACGTCTCGATACCGTAGGTCCGTCACCGCACGGTCTTGGGACCCCGGAGGCCCCTGTCGCCCGAGGCATCCTCGGAGGACGACCCGAGTCCCAAAACCAAGCGGCGACCCCGAATCCGCCACCGACTCACCGCACGCCGTGGTCAAGCTGCGGCGCCGCGCAGGCAGAGTCGAGCTGCGGGCAGGAGCGGCTGCTCCGCCTGTCGCGCCGCCGTTCCTCTCTCCCCCGGGTTCCCATCCTCCCCCTGGTCATGTTTCCAGTATTTCTCCTTTCCCCCTCTTCTGCTTGTCACAGCTGGTTTCCTGATCATTTACCATATTGCCCCCCCGTCCTCTGCCCCCCTCCCTCTCCCTCCTCCTCATGTTTCCTCCAACCCGGATCACCCGCTCCGCCGCTTTGTCCCATCCGCCTCCTCCATTCGCAACATTTCGCCCCTGCTCATCGGCACCTCCCTCCCAAAACCTCGGGGGAGGGCAGGTTCGTTCAGCCGCTAAAAGGTGGCTGCTGCGACCAGACCGCTACGCGCATATTGCCGCCCAGTAGGACACCGTCTCCGGGGTTGCCTGCCCGGGTTGGCCCCCATCTAGCATGCCCCACCGCAGGCTGCGAGCTGGGGGGTCCCCAAGCAAAGGGCGTCCTCCATTAGCAATTCCTCGGTCTCTCGGTATTTCCTGTTCCACCGAGTAACTGTTAATGGCGGCCCGCTCGCAGACTTGGAAGCAAGGTCAGTGATATTCCTGTCACCCTTCTCCTCCTCCTCCTCCTCCTCCTCCTCCTCCTCCTTCTACTCCTCCTGCTCCTCCTCCTTCTTATCCTCGCCCTCCTCTTTCCTCATCATCATCATCATCATCATCATCATCATCATCATCATCATCATCATCATCATCGTCATCGTCATCGTCATCATCATCATCATCATCATCATCATCATCATCATCATCCTCATCATCATCCTCGTCTTCCTCCTCCTCCTCCTTATCCTCCTCCTCCTCCTCCACCTCCTCCTCTTCCTCCTCCTTCTCCTCCTCCAATGCACGCAGCTCCCCTTTTCCGAGTGGGTCTTCTTTTGAGTTCCACGTCGGCTATGACATGCGTCCGCGGATTGAGAAGCCAGCGCAATGGGAAGGGGAGGGAGGGAGGGATAGGATGACAAATACGGTGCGAGCGCGCCTAGCTTGTCCGCGTACTCTCTCCCCATTCCCCCCCCCCTTTTCCCCGTCTCCTTCAGCTGGTTGCTGCTCCTTCTCCTCACCCTCATCATTCTTGCTGCTCCTTCTTGCGTGCTCGGGTGCACTCCGAGGCCACCTGCATGCATCGGCACGACCTGGGATCCTGCCCCGAGCAGGCGGAGACGCTGGCCGTGAACGCTGGATTGTTGGCGGAGCAGCTGTACAACACCGAGACGAAGGCGACGTTGACGACGAAGCTGACGAAGACGACGACGACGACGACGACGACGACGACGACGACGACGACGACGACGACGACGACGACGACGACGACGACGACGACGACGTAGAGGACTGTCTCTGACGGTTACCTGACGTCGCTGCGCAGTCGGCCACGCCGACCCGCGGCGGGCACCTCGGGCGCGCAGTGCGCTCGGGGCGCGCCCAGCGCTCCGCCTGCCCGCGCAGCGGAGCTCGGGCGGAGGCTCCGCACAGCACGGCGGGGGCATCACAGGGCAGCCCCGAAGCCCGCACTCGCGGACCTACCCGCCCGCTCAGCGGCGCTCCTCCTCCTCCTCCTCCTCCTCCTCCTCCTCCTTTTCCTCCTCCTCCTCCTCTTCCTCCTCCTCCTCTTCCTCCTCCTCCTCCTCCTCCTCCTCCTCCTCCTCCTCCTCCTCCTCCTCATCCTACTCCTGCCCGCGTGCCCAGGCGTCGCAGGCCGCCGTCGCGCCCGCGCCCCTGGGTACCTGCCCGCAGGCCGCTCTTCCAAGCCCGCCTGCACGCCGCAGACCCCGGTCACCTGCTCCTGGGTGTCGCCCGCGCCGTCTGCGTCCTCCGCCGACTCATCCACGGGCGGTTGCGCCAACGCCTTCAGGTCGAGCGCCATGCTGGAGTCCAGGACGGCCCGCCACCGCTCCGCCCGCAGGGGTGGGTCCCTGCAGGCGGCATCGAACCCGCGGAGCAGTGCACGCTGGCACGCTCCCCGTCTCCCCAAAGTCGATCTCCGCGAACTCCAGGGCGTCGGCGTGGTCGCCCCCGGACGCCTCGTAGTTCTCCCTGGTTTGCGCCTCGTCCCGCTGGGCCTCCTCCAGCTCGTGCCTGACCTGGTCCACGATCCCCTGCTGCTAGCCCTCGGCGGACCTCCCGCCCGTCGGGCTCCTCGGCGTGCTCCGCCACCTGGCCTTTGGCGACGTGCGCTTCCTCCGCGAGGCGCTGCGCCTTCGGCGACCCGTTGAAGCCGCCGAACTTGGCCTCCTCGGCCGTCCGCGGCCGCGGCCGCGCCCGCGCTATCGGCAGCGGCAGCGCCCGCTTGACCTTCAGCGCCTCCTCGAGCTCGGCCTCGGCAACCTCGCGCCCCACCTCGCCCATGGCCTCCTCGAGGACTTCAGTGGAGACCCATGCCAAGCAACACCCTGCTTGCCTCCGGGGTGCCCTGGGTTTCTTGGGTTTCGATGGTGTTGCTGCGGAGAGCGTGACGTGCCCACACCAAGAATCAATGGACGTCCTGGGGTCTCAGGGTTGGGTCTCTTGTGGCAAGTTTCTTGTGGACTGGCCTCCCCTGCAGTAGTGGCTCCTCTCCTGTCGGGCATGCCGCGGTCGCGCCTGCCCGCGCCCCGGCCGCCCTGCTCCGCCATCTGTTGCACACGCCAGCGTCGTGGCGGCTCGCCGCCAAGGCCACCCCCTCACGCACAGGTGTGCCAGTGCCGCCGCCTTGCACCGCCGCCCCTCGGTCTGCCTGTGAGCCTCCGCCGCCGCCCATGCTCCCGCGCCAAGGCGGCATCCCAGCGCCAGTGCCCCCGACGGCCTCCCGCCTTGCTCTGCACGACCTGCCACCGCCTCCTTCCCAGGCGCGGCCCTCTCCACGCCGATGACTTTCACTTGGCAAGGGCTCCGACTTGGGCCGCGGGGCGCGGCTCCCTGCCGCGCTCCGAGGCCGCTCCTCGAGCCCTCTTGGGGGAGCGCCGCGCTGGCGGCCCCTCCCTCCCGCCTCCTCTCCGAGCCGCCCCCCTCGATGCTCACGTCGGCCTCCGCGAGCACCTGGACCGTGTCGCTCGGCGTGCCGATCTCCTGGGACTCCACCGCCTGCTCCCCGACGTTCTCCGTCCCCGCTCCCGCCGCCCTTCGCTCGTCGCCTCGGAGCATGCCCAACAGCGCCCGCCCGCGCCGCTGCCCCTCCGCCGCCGAAACGCCGCCGTCCTTCAGCGCGCACCCGGACACCTCCACGCCCTCCCACCGGTGCACAATCATTCAGGAGGGGAAAAAACACACAGACACAATTAATCGTCGATCCCCAGGAAAATATGGGAAAATATGGGAAGTGGGGGGGAAACAGAAACCCAGAAATTATGGAAAAATATAAGGGATATTTTTACGTGTGTGTATTTATTTGTGTGTCCTGGGGCCCTTAATCATGCTGATGACCGCCAGCGGCGCCCAGGCGGCAGCGCCGCAGCCGCACCAGGCAGCCTCCGCTGGGGAGGCCTTCGCCGTCCTCGCCGGGCCGCCGCCGGGCACCACGAGCTCCACCGGCGGCTGGAGACGCCTCCCGCCCAGCGCGCGCCGCCGGGCGCCAGTCCCCGCCCGAGGCGCCACCCTCGAGCAAGACCTCGAGACATAATTGTTACGGGCGACGACGACGACGACGACGACGACGACGACGACGACGACGACGACGACGACGACAACGGATACGTCGTCGACATCGACGTCGGCGGCGGCTGAGGTGTCGGCATTCACGACGACGGTTACGACCACGACGATGGTTGTGGCGACGACCACCACGACCGCGACAACGACGACGGCGGCGATGGCAACGACGGCAACGGCGACGAACAAAACACCGACGGCAACAGCGGCGACCGCGGACCCACCCGCGGCGGCTGGGAGGCGTTCCACTGCGTCAGGTACGGCGACCTGCCCAGCCTTGCCTCGGGCCTCGCAGCGGCGCTGACCGATGAGAGGGAACCGCTCTCAAAGGCGGAGGCCGCGATCCAGGGCGCGTGGATGGAGCCCGTTTTCTGCTTGTCCGTCGAAACACGGCATACAGTCAAGACGCTTAAACCACATTCATTCTGATCTCGCGAGGGGCCCTGGATGCCAGGCCGTTCCTTGAGTCTAGGTCGGGGGACCTGTGCGTACCAGAGGCTCACCGTGGCCAGACAAGCCTCTTCCTTCCTTGTTGTTGGCGTTCCTTATGGTGGCACGTTGGCGGTGTCGCAGGCCCCTCTTGGTCGGAGCGTCAGGGCGATCGCGAGAAGTGAGGCATGGCCTGCCAGCACTGCTGGCTGCCTGCTGCCGCCACGCGGGCGGGCCGTGCGCGCAGGGGCGGGGCGTCTTGTGGCCGAACCCTGCAGCGGGCCGCCGGCAGCGAGCCGACGGGCGAGCTCCCGAGGGCACGCCGACGGCGAGCCGACATGGGCTCTCGTGGGCACGCCGCCAGCGAGCTCCGGTCGGGAAGCTGCCGGTGGTTGGCCTGCGGGCTCCGCGGGCCGACGCGCGCGCCAGGCGGGGCCCGCGCCCCGGGCGCGAGGCACCCGCGGAAGGCAGCAGCTGGCGCGTTGGCTGGGCTGCCGGTTGGGCCGGCCGCCGGCGCAGCGGCGGCCAGGCCGCAGGGGGGCGGCGGCGGCGCCGCAGCGAGCCGCGTGTTGAAGCAGCGGCGAAGCGTCTTGGCTCGCGTATCGGCCCACGAGAGAATGTTCTAAGAACCGATTGTGGTCTGCACGAGATGAACTCAGGACAGTTGTGGCTGAGACTGTCTTGCTTTAACACATCGGGCTTACGTGCTAAGAACATGGTTTCATGATTCGAGCACTGCTGGGGTCTAAGAACATGTCGTGGTAGGCCGATGATGCCGGGACGGTCTGTCCCTGCTCAACGTTTGGGCGGGTTGGGAGGCAACTACGGGGAGGTTTTCGTCGGAAGGACTCAGGAGGTGTGGTGTAGAGCATGTGTCACATGTGACAGCGCGCCACTCGCTGCCGTTTGACCTCTAGGGGCCCCTGTTGCCATTGCGCTAAAACGTATCATAATGACTGGAAGACTAGGTCTTATTTGGGGGCTGCTACGCCAGATGAGGCCCCGGAGTCAGCGGGATTGAGCCAGATTGTAAGCGGGATGAAGCCGGAATAGGCGGGATTAAGCTGGGTAAAGCTGGATGTCGGACAAGGGCAAAGTCAGAAGTGGACCTCCCAGGAGTTGCATCCGAGCGCACCGCATCGCCGATGCGCCGCCGAGGCGTTGGCAGCCCAAACCCCCTCGCGCGTTGTGAAAACCGGATCACGGCAGGAGGTGTTTCGCTTCGAATGGCTCCGCGAACGAGACAGAGACCACGCGGCTCGAGCGCGAAGCCTGGAGCGCAAGCAGGCGGTCTGCGGGGCGCCGAAGCGGGCGGCGCCGAGGCGGCGGCGGACGGGCTGCGGTTGCGAGTGGAGCCTAGCGTCCCTCCCCCGCCCTCTTTGCCTCCCGCGCTCCCATTCCCCATTCTCTCTCTCTCTCTCTCTCTACGAATTCGTGTGCACGGAAGGGCTTGCCGAATTGCGCCAGCACGACGGTTCCAAGCCACAGTGTCCGGAGGTCCGCACATGCTTGGGGGATCGGCGCTGGCACCCCCCCTGGCGGCGCCCCGTGATGTTGGTTTTACGCTTGCGGGGAGCCTTCGTTGGTCGCGTTGTTCTGTCGCACCCTCGGTACAACAGGGCCGAGGCAGCCAGACACTGGTCCCACGACTAGCGAACATCCCTCTTGCCAGCTAGGCCAGGAGGGCGTATCTGCCAACCTGGGGCCGAAGACAGGCCTGACCAGGAACGGTGTAGACGGATATCCGTACTCCCGACGTGGCGTTTCTTTTACGGCGCGTATTTTGAAGCTCTCAACACCATGTCCGGGATCGGTGTTGAGGACCCCCCGTGCCCGAAGACGGCTCCCGGCAGCCGTGAAACGAAACGAAACAGAACCCCGCCAGGCTTCACTACGTTCCCAGACCTCCGACGTCAAGAGTTGCTCACAACGTCGACCCCCAAATGTCTCGGCCCCCGTTCCTCGGGAGCGGCTTGGTATCCCGAGCAGTCGTTCGATTGTCCTGGGGCCCAGAGAGGGCGCGAGAGGCCGAACAGTGCAAGATGGAAAAAAGTGTCCCGTCGTGATTCGTCCATGAGGTCGTTGGTGCCCCTCGAGAGGAGTCGAACGTGGGCGCGCACGAGCACCACGACCCCAAGGCGGACGATAAGGAAGTCAAGGACGGCCCAGGGCATCGGGCCATCCCCGCATCCAGGCGAGGAGAGGAGGAGGGGGAACGGAGGAGGAGGAAGAGAACGATCGGGTGGACGAGGAGGATGGAAGCACAGTCATCCTGCTCCCTCCCATCCCCCTCCTCCATCGCATCGTCGATGTCATCCT